ACCGGAACACACATCTACACCACAAGTCCGACAAGACCAAAGACGTTGCCAAAGTACCCGCAGGCCCCTGGATCAACGCGACCGGAACACACATCCACATCACAAGCCTGACAAGACCAAAGACGTTGCCAAAGTAACCGCAGGCCCCTGGATCCAGAAACACCACTGATACCCACTAGGTGTAGTGAATCGTCCCGCTGTCCTCCAGCACGCCGGCATCGGGGCCTTCACGAGGCCTCAGCAGCTCAGCAGAAACATGCTACCGCCTGTCTCCCCTAAAGTCTTGTACACATGGAATCCACATCACTCTTCGTTTGTCCGCCGCGGTTCCGTTGTTAGGGTGGGAGATCCGTTAACTCCTCCTCCGAAGTCCTGAATCCAGAAATCCACTCAAATCGAATGTGAACACTGGGCCTTATAAGCCCCAACCCAGAACTGCAAAAAAGGGAAGAAAGCCTTCTGCAGACGAAAGGGCAGCTCCAGCCGCATCCTCTCTGCTGCCTCCTTCACCTCCGCCATGTCCGCCTCCCCGAAGGCCTGGGCAGGTCTCTCTTCGGCTCTTTTTGTGGAGGCCCTGGCGGCCCTGGCGGCCCTGGGGCTCTTCGGGGGATTCGATGATCGACGTGCAATGATCGTAAAATGATCGTAGCCGCGTGACTCTGCGACTCTACTTTTCAGCACGGGCATGCAAGACCACGTCAACTGTGACGGAGTTGCAGAGCACCTGCGTGAGCTCGTCGCGCCAGAAGAAGGCGCCATCCCCACCTTCAGGAAGCCGCACTTCGCATCACGACGGACTCCGAAGATTCATACTCGTAGCACTGTCCGTTCGATCGAGATGTTCATCGCTCTGCCGTCATGGCTGCAAGGACGTTACCAGGCTTACGGCCTGCAGGTGTGGGGGAAGAGTTTAAGGCGCCGGGGTTTATAATGGCTTCCCAAGATGCCATGAAAGCGGATAGCTCAGGTAACCGATTCTACTCCAATCAATGTCCTCCGTCATTCGCCTCCAACCTCAAGCCGGGCTCTGAAGTAACTCAAACTAATAAAACCAACCTAGCGTCCCATACAACCCCTGCGCGCGGCTTACCAAGTCCCACGCTCCCCAAGCCCAAAGTTCTGCACCATGGACAGTTTGCTGCAATAAAGGCAGTACGGCCGCTTTGATGCCAGGTTCGGGAGTGTATGTGATTGTATTGCCACTGTAAGGAAACTGATTACCAAGTGCTCATCTGTACAGAATTGATGGTGATCTATGCTTCAGGGCTGAGGGTTCCTTGGGTTCCTTCAACACTCGTAGGCGAATCCCGATTTCGCTTCTGGGGCTCCCAAAACTTCTCTGAGCGGCTGTCGTAGTAGGTATCCAGCCACTCGCAGTACCAGAGCGCCAGGGCCTCGACTTGAACACAAGGGACAAGGACCCAAATAGACAACCTAGATTCTAGATAGCAGGCCACCCTGAGATGACAGCGTCGGAAAGGAAAAGGACCGGAATAGACAAAGTAGGGTCCATACCAAACAAGACCCCCTCAAGAAGAAGCCCCCCAACAAATTCATGCCCGGGCGGCACGGTTGTAGCGCCACCTCGGCCAAGCCGGTTTCGGAACCGTTTGTGGGCACGAACAGGTGAGGTCGAGGGGCTTCACTGGTCTTGGTAGAGACGACACCTTGCCACTTTCGAGTCTCTGGAGAGTGCTGAGGGGGAAGATGCTGCTCTCAAGTGCGGCCAAGCCACCATGGGAGATCTTCCACGCGGCTCGGCCCATTGACGACCTCCTTCTAAGAGGCCCACCCACATGCCAACTAGCCCCTTCTATGGAGTGGGCTACCCGGTACCCCGCACAAGCACATGGCTCCTTGGCGGCCCCAAGCCGGCGAGTCGGGTTGGCACCACCCAGAAACTGCTTAAAGAGCGTCTCCTGCCTCGACTCCGCAGGCGGAAGAGCCCAGCACGGCCGGGACCCCCAAAACCCGATGCCGCCTCCCTTCGAAACTCCCCCCGATTCCGGGTCCCTTCACTGATGAATGGCCGAGCCACACTGTGTCCAGCACGCTCATCGGGCGGCGTGCTATGGGCCATGGCGAGGACCCCACCGCAAGAGTCTTTAGGGGCTCGAAATCTTCCACGGCTCTCCCTCGTTCCCGCTGCTATTGCTGTGCGTCTGCTAGAGATCTGCCCTGCTCTTTGCCGTGTCCGTCCGTGTCTCCTCTGTCCGCTACGAGCGGGCCGGACGCTTTCAGGACGCGCTTGCGAAGCTTCGAAAAAGAAGCTCCAAGTTTTCCCCAGGCTACTCCGAACGGCTGCGGCAGAAGTCAGCGGAGGAACATCAAAAGCAATGCAAGGCTCTTCTAAACTGCGAGCTGCCGTCATGCTCTGCTCATGTCTGGTCCCTCTGTCTCCACGGTAAAGGACTTCGGAATAGCAGCTCCAGCGCGTAACAAGCTCACGGGCAAACAGGAGGTCTGTGCGGCAGGACTTGACGAAGACTTCAGACCCCATAGCCACAGACCCCTCAAATTCATGCCCGAAAAATGCTTCAGTCTCAGTGCCCACAAGAACCCAAAGCCCAAAATCACTAAACCCTGAAACCCCCACCCCCCACTCCCCGCCCCCATATGTATATATCTCCGAATAAAATAAACCAAAAAAAACTGCTCCTTATTATTTCTAGGGCCTAAGGCTTTTCACGACGCTTCCGAGAACTCGCGCCGGTCGAAGTCGCGAGTCTGGGCCGCTTTGAACCAGCCCTGGTTCCTGGGCTCTCGGTGCGACGCCCCACTAACAGGTACATAAAGCATGGTCTGCCCCTGTATATATAAGACTGCTGTAGAACAACCGGTTTTGTGTTCCTTCTTAAAGAATGAAGGCACCACAAAGAAAAAAAAACACATCTTCAAGAATTGCCCTGGTTCGTGGGCTGCGTGAACTGGTAGCCAAAGTAGTAGTCGTCCTGCAAGGGGGGGCTGTTGAGGTTTGCTGGAAGGTTCTTATGAAAGCTTTTGCAAGCGTGCCTGCAAGCGTTTCTAGTTTCTAAGAGTTCCTCTACCCTGGGCCCAGGGACTTCAGGGTTCAGAGTTTGTGGTTTCAAGGCTGAAGGCCTCTGTCCGGAGGCTTAGCATTTGCTGCGTTGCGCGCAGAAGGATGCTCGTTCCCCAAGACCCTGCTCGTTGGACATTCCTGAAACCCTCGCCACAAACCCCGGTACTGGTTGGTATTCTTCTGTGTGGGCTTCTTCAAGACTTTACAGGCAGGCCATGGAAGGGATACGATGAAATGCCAACAGTACTCAGGAAATCTCTACTTCCTAGAGAGAAAGCCCCCTAACAGCCCCAAAGGGACCTAAACTCTCTGCCTTCCACGCGGAAGCCTTCTGATCCAAGACTCTGAGATGGGCTTCGTCGAGGAATGGAAAAACAAGAAAAATGACACAGCTAGAAGACTCGTCGAAATGACACAGGTTACAGTGTGTTTAAGAGGTTTCCGCATGTAGCACTTCTGCGGCTGGCATCCTTGCAAAAGGTTATAGCGCCTCTCCTGACGCCCGGTTCGCTGATGGTCCCGAACCCAGAATCAGCAAACACTGGCTACGGGCTCCAGTTCTGGCTGCTCAAGCACAGACTCCTATATACAGTAGGGGCCTTTTTATGGGACTATGGGTGTCTATTCGACTACAAGTAGTTTAGGGAACTCCAGGGGAACATTGTCATCATTGCTGGCCCGGGTATGTTGCTGGATGCCCCCGCATGGCCTGTATGTGTGTCGCGACGATCACGGCACCATTCTGTATCGAGAGGTAGCCGGCCTGAGGTCCCAGACAAACAACCCCCCGACAGGTTTAGACGCTTTTGAAATCTGTTTCCGAAGGCTTGAATATGGAAGAAGACCGACGTGAAGGACGGAAGGTCACTGAATCAGCAACTTGCCCAGACACCAGCAGGCTCCAGGGATTCGCGCGACACAGCGGCCAAGATAGGGAAGAGGACCGAAGTGAAGGACGGAAAGTCACTGAATCAGCACCTTGCCCAGACACCAGCAGGCTCCAGGGATTCGCGCGACACAGCGGCCAAGATAGGGAAGAGGACCGAAGTGAAGGACGGAAGGTCACTGAATCAGCAACTTGCCCAGACACCAGCAGGCTCCAGGGATTCGTGGGACACAGCTGCCAAGATGTGGAGGAGGACTGAAGTGAAGGACGGAAGTGACTGCGCATGCCTCACAGAAACTCCAAGATCTAAACCCTAAGCATCTCAAGTGCAGCAAATTGCGGTTTTGAGGAGCACGAAAATCCCATCCCCAGCCCTGCAGAATGAACCCTTATTCTCAAAAGCCAAAAGTCCCGGAGCGACGCCAGTAGGGTCTCAAGCCACGCCCCAGGCTTGCACTCTTCCCAACATGCGGGATTGCCTGCTAAACATCCATCCGGTCATCCAGCCATACATACATAGGATGCATATGATACACCTCACACATTCCAGAAGATGAGATGCCTGGACGCTGCCCACGATGTCTTGGTTGGCCTTGTCGCATGGCAGTTGTTCGAACACAGTGTGCCTTCGAGGTACCTTTGTAACTATGCTGCAAAAAAAGCCAAGATGACTGTCTTCCGGAAGTGGAGGCATGTGCAGGACGGAACTTGAACAAACCCACACCTTGAACCCGACACCCCACGGTGGAAGCTGAAGTCAGCGTCTGGGCTCCGCGTCTCTACGGAGAATTCTGGGTGTCTCAGACCAGACTTCCGGTTCTGGGTCGCACAAGAAGCGAGAACTGCGGAGGCTTTGGATCTATGGACTTTGCCGCTGTGCTGCTGCTTCTGCTAAGGCAGTGCCATCAAAAGGAATCTCGGGGATAATAGGGTGCCAATCAGAAGCGGGCAATGCGTGGCGTGCATGGGTACCAAGGATTATTATCAACCCACATCTGCATCTGACCAATAGCCCTCTAAAGCCACCACCCTGAGCACGGTGCCGTGCGAAAGCACGGCGGCTTCTTGGCCTGGGCGACTTTGGCGTTTCGCTTTAGATTCTTCAAGACTGTACTGGACATCGCACGTCGCTGCTGCCGGAGGACCCTCCAAACCATCCCCCCTCACTTCAAGATCCCCTTTTAACTCCCTCATTCACGTCGCGTTCGACTCTCTCAGACATGTTGGAATTTCAGAGGCCCCCGTCCCGCCCGGCCCTTCCCCTTCCCTTCACTCCCTAACCACCAAGAACTAAACCCCAAAGCCTAAACCCTCAAGTTACTTTGGAGCTTAGGAAGTTTCGGATATCCTCAAAGCCAGGCCCTCTAAGTCAAAAAACGGATCTAGGGCCAGCCTCAAGCACCAAGCTCCTCTGTACAGGTATAGGGTTTAGGGTATAGGGTGTAGGGGTCCAGACATCCCCCCCTCGGCCGGGCCACGTCGTAGGCACCCGAGGTGTCTGCTTGCCGCGGTGCAGCTGCAGACCTGGCGCTCCGAGATTTTCTGGGGGTTTCGGGGTTCAGGAGTTTAGGATTAGGGATATATGGGTTTAGGGGTTTAGGGGTTTAGGGATGTAGGCGTTCAGGAGTTTGGGAGCATAGGGATCAGGGATCAGGGCTGAGGTATGCGCATTCATGCTTCAAGGGCTACCTCGCATGACAGCCTCGTCAAGACAAGCAATTCTCGTGGTCACGATTCGCCCTAGTTGCTCCCTGGCAGCTCAAACAGAGTGCCTGCGGTTTGCTCGGGTTCGGCGCACGTGTTGACTGCGGATGCTGCCGAAACGGCACGAGACTTCCAGCATCTGGACGACATCCGAAGCGCGCGTTTTGGGGAAGGCAATGTGATCAGGGAAGCGGAAGCCTGTTTCATCTGGTCGTGGGCCTTTGTTTTGGCACCTTGGCTGCCTCGTAGCCGCAGCTCTTCCACTGAGGCAAGAGGTGTGCATCATGTCATCTCTGTCTGGGTCCGCTTTGCGTCCTTTCTGTCCCCTTTTTGGCGCATTTTTTTTTTCTCTGGTCTGTCCTGGTCTGTCTCTTTCTTCTCAGTTGCTGTCTTTCTGTTCCTTTTGCTGCGCTTCATTCCCCTCTGAGCTCCCGAGGCTGGGGTCCTCCGAGGAGCGGCGCAGAGGCCCCTGGGACTCCCCAAGAAGGGGCGGGCCGGACCCCCCCCCGCCCTTTTAAAGGCGGCTTTTTGCTCGCTGCCTTTAGGCCTCTAGGACTGCTGTGTGCATCTCAGGTGCCTGTGCGAATGGCAGGGCCTGGCAGGGCTTTCCTTTCAAACCCTCGATGAGGCCCCTACAGATCCCGATAAGCCTCAAACAAAACCTACCAGGTGTTCTAAAAACAACCAGCTTGGCCTCGCAGTCGCCAGCTCTTCCTGGAGCTCCTGAGCTAAAGGGAAGAGGTTTAGGCTTTCGGGTTTAGGGGGGTTTCGGGGGGTTTAGGAGGGTTTAGGAGGGTTTCCGGTGGTTTGGGGGGGGTTTGCGGGGGTTTGGGGGGGTTTGAGGGGGTTTAGAGTGTGGGGCTTAGGGTCTGGCGGGGTCTCTCGAAGGGAAGTGAAGAAGAGGGTCGTCTACGATTGAAAACTGCTGCTGACGGAGGGACGACTACCGGGTGTTTTCAATTGCTCATCTCCAAGCCGTTCTAGCACCCTCAAAGCAACCAGTCGCTCTCCGTCTCCCCGTAGCGGGAGCCGAGGAGCGGTAACGCGGGACTCGGCGGCCGAAAGCCGCTCCTGGCTCTGGGCGCCGAAAAAAAGCTGAAAAAAAAAGCTGAAAAAATGGCTTTAAAGAGTCTTGAGGATTCAGAGCTTTTTGCCAAAAAAAGCTGAAAAAATGGCTTAAAAGGGCTTTGAGGATTCAGGGCGGGTTGAGGGTGGGATGCATTTAAGCCGTAGGGCTTTCGGGGCGGGCTTGTCGGGCCCTTTAGGGTTTAGGGACTTGGGGTTTCTTGAGGCTTTTGGGGCTTAAGCTTTTGCCTAGCTTTCTTCTGGTTGTACCGAGTCTTTGCTTTTGGCTTCTCGTTTCTTGATTGTGGGCTCTGTATCGTCACTTCATATGAACCTTTAAATCATCATGGCTGCTGTTCTTGTCGGAGATGTGTGTTCTTGTTCTTGTGGTGGTTGCATTCGCGATCAGACGCGTGATTCTTCTATCAGATGATGACTGCGGTGCTCCCAGTCAAGTGCTCTTGTTGTTGGGCTTTGTGTGGCATCCTGTAAGCAGAGCAGGCGACAATGGGGGTCCGCCTAGCCATCATGGCTTCGCAAGCCACAGTCGGTAACAGATCTGTCTGTCTATCTGTCTGTATGTATGTATGTATGTATGTATGTGTGTGTATATGTATATGAATGTGTGTGTATATGTATGTATGTATATATATATATATACATATCATGAATGGTCCTTCTTATGATAGTCTCAAAACGACGGCCTGGAGGTCGGCCACACGCCGCAGGCACTCATTGATGACTTGGTTCTCCAACCTGGGGCTCTACATCTTTCCGTGTCTTCTAAGGGGGGAGGGGAAGGTATATGAATGGTTTACGGTTTCAGGGCTTTGGGTGTAAAGGGCTCGGGATTTACGAGCTGGATGAGTTAATGCAGGGCTGGCGGGCTTAAGCGTGTGGCTCGGCGGACATCACCTTGTCACTGTCGTCAGCGGCAGCAGCATCACTGCCACTACACTACGACTACGATGATGGGTTGGGTCATTCGAAGCCAAAGCCTGAGCTTTCCTTTCGAACCCAGAGCCCTAAGCCCCAAACTCTGATCCCTAGCTGCCCTAGCTCTAAGGGCCTGGACCTGAAAGCCTGAAAGCCGGCCGGGGAGCTGGAAAGCTTGCATGCGACACCTCAGCTGTCAACTCTTGGCCGGAGAGAAGGGTTGAGCAAGATTGATTTCAAATATTTTCAACTCGAACCATGGCAACACTCCCTTTAGCGAAGTACTGGTTCCTCATGGCACTCTTGTTTTGTTGTCACCCCTTTTCCTCCTGAGCTGTTAACTAAGTCGGAATGCCTCAAAGGCCGAGGTCTTGGCACCAGCTTCGGGTCGAGGGGATAGTGACTAAACTGAAAGTAATACCCCAGCTCCCTCAATCCTTGCAGTGCGACTCCCGGAGGAGCGAAAGTAGATGGCACTCTAGGCTTTGAGGCTTTAAGGGTTAGGGCATGGGTTCTGTCTGATTGAGATCGTGAACAACACCACCTAACAGCTAGAGGAACTATGGCAATGGGCTTGATTTTGTTGACGTGAGGGCAACGTAAGATAAAAAAGCATGGTTGTGGTATCACTCGCTCTCTGATCCACCGGGGCACTGCCCCAGTCGCTTCAAGTTCTGATTCAGTGTATCCTCGGGCTCCTTCTCAGCGGCATTGTCTTTCTTGCCCTGCCGTCGGCAGTAGCTTTCTAGCCGCAGTTCGCTGAAACTCCGGACAAAAGCAGAATCATACGAGTACCACCTCGGGCATCCTACATGCCCTTCGCGTCCACAGCTTCGCAATCCCAAGTTTCAATGGACTTCAGCAACGATACCTCAAGCCGAAATCGATGTCACCCTTTCGCATGCGCCTGGAGCTTTGCCGAAGATCCGTTCACACCAGTGCTGGCGATGCTGGCAGCGCTAGCAGCGCTGGCAGTGCTTGCAGCAGTTTGCTTCTTGTTCCCAGGAGCCATTGCAGAGTGCGACGGACGATTCTGGTCACCGGAGGCACACCCGAGAGCTAAGACAAAAGCATGTTCAGATCGATTGTCTGCTCATTCTTCTAGGATGTGGGGACCCTGCACACCGCATGCCACCGCGCAACTGTTTGCTCACTAGGCTCTACCTGAACATCGGCTGTTGTTCGACATGATGCCATGTCCTCTATCTCGATTACCATTGTCGCCATGTTAGCTGTTGCGAAGTGACGGAGTCCGGTCCAAGCAGCATACTGAATGCGGTGCAACCCTTCGCAAGACACAAAAACTCTTAAGACCTCCTTTGCCTGAGCAGATACTCATCAAAAAACTTGCGCAGGGCGCCCCACAGGATACCCACAAAAACATCCCTCTCGAGCCCAACTGCGCTGGCGGGTGAAAGCAGGATGCCAAAGCAAACGCCCAAGATGCCCATGGAGTCAGGAAGTGGTCGGGGGACTTCATCTCTTCATCTTGCGCCTCTCTGAAGGATCCTCTCTTTTTTCAAATCTGGATGCATACATGCAAGAATAGCATCCATACATCCATGCATTCAGACATACAGCACAGAATTCTGTGGCTGACCCTTCGCCACGCCGTGCCGAGATCGCTGCCGCCTCAAGCGGCGCGCCGTTTCTTCGGGGCCTGGCGCACACTTTACAAGCATCTATTAAATGAGGTCTCTGGCTGTCGGGCTTGTGGCTTACAGAGTCAGCGCTTAGTGGGTTTGAGGTGGGCTTTGGTTTTCAGTGAAAGCGTCGACTGGGGGGGCTAAGCATCGATGCAACAAGGCGTGGGGCCAGGGGTGGAGTGCGCGGATCTGAAACCAAGATCCCCAAGACTCAACGTTTACATACGCTTACGTGTTTAGTTTGCCCGCCTTTGGTGCTCCCGGGGATTCTACATCCTGAATCACTCTGTTCCATCCTGTCAAGCCCCAAAAAGCCTAAACACTAAACACCCAAGAGCCTGAATCCCTGCTATGGTATGAAGTACTCAAGTTTCCTGATTAAACTTATCGTATTTGTATAATACTCAACCCAAATACCTAGTCCAAGTGTTAAGGCCCCTATATTGTCAGGATATCCGCAGCTTTGGGTGGGTTTCTGTGTCTGAAATACCCATATCTTTGACTGACCGACACACACACACACCCGCCAAGCCGCAACCAAAAACCCAAAGCCCAAAACCAAAGCCCTGAGCCAAATACCCTTCAGCCTCAGCTACTTCTACGAAAGCTGCAGCCCGCTGCAGGTGCCTTGTGATTGTGGGGTTGGCTTTGCTGCCTCTTCTTGGCGCCCTTCCTCCAGATCGGGACGGGATTCTGCTGTCTTTACAACTACTGAGACTATGGAAATGGTGACGATGATCATGGCGGTTGTAAATACTGGCTCGAATTGCACAGCTCTATTGCATTTGCATCATCATCATCATCATC